TTCCAGATGTTTGAAAATCTTCCATATATTTTCCTGTTAATGATGTACGATTTAATTCCATGTGGTTACAGAACATCCTTTGTATAATTTGAATCCTTTTGATTTTTTGAGAAGTATTTTGTGACTGAATGTATTCTGTCTTAGGAAATGTTCTATGTACATTTGATAAGGATGTTGATAAGGATGTGCATTCTGCTCAGTTTGGGTAGAGTACATTTTTACCTGTCAGATTGTTCAGTTTGACTGACTACTATTGACTATTATATCCTTGTTTATTTTCTATATTTTATCTGTCAATTTATTATAAATTATTATATTTCATGACACTTATGAATTTATACATTTCTCCTTGCATTCCTATCAGATTTTGCTTTATGTATTCTGATGCTCTGTTAATAGGCGCATAAATTGGACTGTTTGGTCCTCTTGGTATAACATTCCCTTTATTGTTTTACAATTCTTGATAATATTCTTTGCTCTGAAATCTATGTAGTCATTGTTCTTAGTAACAGTTTTACTCTAAAACCTATTTCATTTGATGTTGGTTTACCTACTTTGGTTTTATTTTCATTGCTGTTTTATGGTATATCTTTTTCTGTACGTTTTCTTTTGACCTGTTTTTGTATGTGTCCTTGTATTTAAAGTAGGGGTCTTATAGGCAGTACTTAATTAGTTTAAATAACAAACCAAGGACTAATAGTCTCTATCTTTTAATTGGGGTGTTTAACTATATTTATTCAATATAATTATTAATATGATTTTGTTCAAATACACCACCTTGCTGTTTTAAGTTTCCTATTTGTTCTATTTATTCTTTATTCCCTTTCCCTAGCTTTTCTTCCTTAGTTTAGTTTAGTTTCTTTTTTTTAATTGTAGTTTGACACAATAGTTTTCTAGTTTATTTATTTATTTTTTTTTTGTGGTGCTAAGGTTCAAACCCTACAAGCACATTACTGCTGAGTCACAACCCCAGCCCCTAGTGTTTCCATTTTATGCCCTTCATTGGTCTACTAGATATTCCTCCATTTTAGTTTTTGCTTCAGTGTTTGTAGTACACACTCTTAACTTATCGGAGTCTGCCTTCACATGTTATTGTAACCCTTAACATTTCAGATAGTTTCTATTACTATGTCTTTAAGGTCAGTTTTTTTCTGTATTGCCTAATAAAAAATTAATTTGTTTTTGCAGTCAATTTTCCCTTCTAGAATTTCAACTAGAGTTTTCTTTATCTTTCCTGTCTGAACTTTTAAGTTCAGATTGTCCTCTAGATTTTTGAACTCATTTTTGAATAAACTATCTTAAATATCTGCATCTACTAATTCTATCTAGTATGTCAAGTCGAGGTCAGCTTCCATTTATTTTTCTATTTTGGATAGTTTTCTCCTCTGCATGCTTGGTAGACACTGTATTTTATCTTATTGGTGCTGGGTATTTTTGTAAATACACTTGAGCTTTGTTGTGGGGCATGTGCAAGCTATTTGGAAACAGTTTGATCCATTTGGTCTTGCTTTAAGCCTCCTTGGGGATGAGAGCAGTGTTCATCTAGGGCTACTTGCCACCGCGGAATATCCCGATTGCATTTGACCCTGTGCATTGTGAAGTTTTCTAGTTTGGCTGCTGGGAAAGGTCTGTTTCCAGCTCTGTGTGGAGCCTGCTGACTGTTCCCTCCCATGTTTCCTGGTGTTTCTGCCTCAGGTTCCTCACATGTGTACAGTGATTGGTGCTCTCCTCAATGCTTGAGCAGTAAGTACCCTTTGCAGTTCTCTGAAATTCTCTCTGTGCAGCTCTCTCCTTGTGCTCTACCCAAAGACTCTAGCCTTCTGTCTTCCATTGACTTCCAGCTCTGTCTCCTCAATGTAGGGAGACTGCTGGGCTTGTCCTGTGCCTTCTCTGTGGACATTTTCTAGGCATTCCACTTGAGCATTGCAGGATTTATCTCAGTTTCTTTCTTCTTATTTCTTTGGGATAACTGTATTTGTTGCCTGATGTTCAATGTCTAAGACACATTTATTTCCTATATTTTTCCTTTTTTAAAAAAATGCTGCTGGTGGTGGAAATATGGTTCCTATTACTCTGCCTTGGCTAGAAGCAGAAGCCTTCCACTAGAATTTTGAATAAAATATAAAGAATGGACTATTTGAGGGTGTTAGGAAAGGATTATGGGATACCCAAGCCCCAGTAATAATGGCAAACTTAACTTCAAAAAACATTTAGATCCATGGGAAAGTACTTATTGTTAAAGCACAGAAAACACTACCTTCTAGTGAACTCTTAAGGGAGAGTACTTGAATAGGATCCCTTCAAAGCCCTCCTTCAAGACACCCAGGCTGCCTTTACTTCTCTCCTCAGGCATACATGTTCTTGTTGGCTATGTGTGATACTGGGCTGGAAGAGCCATTGACAAGTCCCTGCCTGTGTTGCATCTAGAGAGCCTCCAGCAAAGTAGCAAAAAGGAGGAGACCTACTGTGTGCTTACTGCATGCACTAGCCTAGCATACCTCATCTCCATGGTGTCATGTGGAAATGTAGGTGGCCGAAAATATCCTAGTTAAATACATTAGCTGTACCTTCCCTCTTTTCTCTCTTTTTATTTATAGAGAAATGCCATGACATGGAGAACAGTTAGAGGAACTAAAAATAGCATAGAGGAAAAAGCCTCAACAGCAGGTCATGAGGGTCACCTCAAAACAGTGGAAGGGACCATCCATGTAGAGGGGGAAAGGCTGTTCAGATGATCCTGTGGGAGAAAAATTAAGATGAGAAGGTAGAAGCGATGCAGTGCCCTGTTGAACTCAGTACAGGAAGACCTTACAGTAAGCTGCTCAGGGCGAAAATTCAGACAGCAGAGTGCAGAAGTTAAATGCCCTCCAAGCCCCGCTACATTTATTTTTCCTGGCACTGCAGTAGTGGGTTTTTGTATATTTTTCCTGAGTCTTACAGGTTAGTCTTTATACAATACCATGGTTCTCACACTTTAGCCTCTCTCAGATCACCTGGACTGCAGCCTGAGAATTTGTGTTTCTAGCCTGTTGCCTGGTGATACTGATGCTGATTTTTTCTGAAACCAAACTTTTGAGAATCACTGAGACAATATTCTTTTTAAAAAATAATACACGTGGGGTCATATTAAGGGTGCCAAAAGTAAGATATTATCAAAATATCCATTTTAGGGGCTGGGGTTGTGGCTCAGCGGTAGAGCGCTTGCCTAGCATGTGCAAGCCCCTGGGTTCCATCTTCAGCACCCCATAAAAATAAATAAATAAAGGTATTGTGTCCAACTACAACTAAAAAAAATAAAATAAAACATTTTAAAAAGTCATATTGTTAAAAAAGTTTCAATTTTAATAAGTGTAAAATTATATCTGAGTATTGTTTTGATTTATGGTCCCTGCATTATTTGGGAAGCTGAAGATTCACATTTTCCTTGTATTTGACTTCCTGTGAACTGTAGGTTGTATTCGTTGCATTACAAGAGAAATAACAATATGGAAGAAAGCACCAGACCTCTCTTTGAAGGGTGCTGGCAGTTTTGCAGTGTTGGGGCATAGGGTGCTGATACGGGGAGGGAGGTCAGGGCATGCGTATTGACTGTGGCAGATAGTATCAGAGCTTAGAGGTTTTCATGGGCCAAGAAAAGATTTTGGTCTTTATTTTGAGAAGTAGCATTGGTGTTCTTTAAGTTTATACTTTAGTGTGTTAAAGTTTCCATAGAGCCTTTTGTGGAATGGCAGGGTATCTTGTCTTAGTTCCCCAAGTCTAATGTTTAGTCTTCAAACAACTCCTTCTTAAGCCCTTTCTTTCATCTTGGGCTTTAAAGCCACCTGGTCATGTTTCATAAACAGGTAAACACAAGAATAACCAAAAACCTCATGCACCTGGTCGGTATTGTCTTTGAGGAACGAGTTTTGCAAGATCTCTTAAAAGAACATACTTGGTGGCTTTACCTGATGGGACCCTGAATCCTTCCTAAATTTGCTGACATCTGAGGGCAGTCTACTTTAGGTGGGTGGGTTCTTTTGTTGTTTTAATTTAAGTGAATTTCTGGGAAAAGCTATGGATTTCAGCCAATATGCTAATGATAATGGCATTGCTTTGAAAGTCTGGTTAGTTCTGTAAAGAATCATTTCATAGTTAATTATGTTAGCAAATCAACAGCAGTCTCTTAAAGAGGAAAGCAATGGGGGAGAGACTACATATATACTTAAATTATTCAGAACTCAAAGAAGGATCAAAAGTTCAGTTTAAAAAGAGAAGTCCATGTAAGAATAAATCACTAGGTTTGCATATAATTTTCCGTATGGGTGTAAGTTTATAATGGGCATATAAGGGATTAAAATTAAATAGCTTTGCATGTGGAATTAGGGGACATCAGCCTCATCCTGTGCCCTTTCTAACATTTTTCTGATTCTGGACAGGAGAGTGGGAAAACATCAAATCCAAACCTGGGCTTTTGATGAACTCAGGGAGGTCCACTGGGTTTGAAAGATAGACTGATACTGTTGGGGTTCAGTGATGCTCATCTGGGTGAACTCCCTTTCCATCTTCCTTCCTGTGCAAGTGGGACTTGTTGCTAATGGAGAAAGAGGAGGGTGGTGCATCAGCCACAAGCCATAGTGCTTCTAGACTCTCCAGAGAAAGAGAGTCCTTAGGGTCTTTTTATTTTAATAGATATTTGACTATTCTATACATTAATAGTCCCCTTCTCCACAATCCAGTAATCCCTTATTACTGTGTTACATTACATGTGCTTGCCTGTACAAGGCTATAGGATTTATTGAGACAAAAGGTGATGCTTACTAATCATAGCATGGGGGAGACTTTTCTAAAGTTTGTCTGAGGAGATTTCATAGGATTAATGGACTGGAAATATCATTCCGTGTGTGTCCAGGATGAAGGCACCTTGGTTAGTGTGGAAGTCCTCATCATTTCAGGGATGGTAGGTAGAGTTTGACAATGGTTGAGACAAATGAAAATTTATATATGGCCTCTTCCTTCTCTAGGCTTTGTGACCATCAGCGAGAGATTGATCCTGTCAACATTTCAGCTTCTTCAGGTGTAGAACAACATATACCACCGTGAGTGTTATAAACATGGACCCCCCTCTCCCATTCTCTGCAATGGGAGGGGCTTGGGAGGGCAACAGAAACAGGCATTAGGAAAAGCAAGGAGTTTTTTTTTTTGTTGTTGTTGTTGTTGGAACTCAAGGGATGGACAGAAGAGATGGGAGGGAGTAAACAAGGTTTTCATGGAAGAAGGTGTGAGTGATCCAGAGTCTAATGAGCTCAAAAAGGATGTTTGTTGGAGGAGTTTGGGCTTTCTTCTGAGGAGAGGGGTTTTCATATATGATTTCCTTAGGACCTGTGTTGTGCATTTGACCACAGCCATATGATTTTGTATCTTCTCTGTTTTGCTGTTTCTCTATTGCAAATGTGGCTCTTGGAAGGTGTTATTTTTGGCCACCAAACAAGACTGGATTACCACCCATCCAAGGCTGGATTAGTTTTGATCCCTGTGGCTCCCACTTTATGAGGCGGACATGGGGATTTAGGGAAATTTGATTTTTCTTTTGGGATCCAACTTAAAAATTTTAAAAATAGCCAATTTTTCTACTGTCTTATTGATTTAACACTTTACTCTTTGTCCAGTTGCCTTACATTTATTCTTAGAAATAGGCCCAGTACAGAACATAAAACCCCCCCAAATAGGTCAGATGTGGTGGCACATGCCTGTAATCTCAGCACCTTTGAAGGCTGAGGCAGAAGGATTAGAAATTGAAAGCCAGTCTCAGCAATTTAGGTAGACCCTAAGTAACTTAATGAGACCTTGTCTCAAAATTAAAAATAATAATAATAAAAGGGCTGGGAAGTAGCTCAGTGGTAAAGTGCCCCAAGGTTCAATCCCCAGTATAAAAACAAAACAAAATAAAAAAGCCCTGAAAAATATCAGGTTCTGATCTGGTTGATTAGAACTGTTGTAACAGTGAAGTGGTCTCATCGTTGACCAACTACATTCTATCAAGAAAGGTAGAGCTGGGACAGGGTGCTTTGGTCCCTAAAATGTAGATGGCCATGCCAACATGAAGCTGCTGTTCACTATATGCAGTTTTACTTGATGCATTAGGTTTGGCTTGAAGTAGGTATACTGGAAATAAGGAATCACCCTTTGATTTTTAAAATTCAGGTCTTTTTTCAGGGGTGGGTAAGGGGATTGAATTCAGGGATACTCAACTAATGAGCCACATTCCCAGACCTATTTTGTATTTTATTTAGAGACAGGGTCTCACTGAGTTGCTTAGTGCCTTGTGGTTGCTGAGGCTGGCTTTGAACTTGCTGTCCTCCTGCCTCAGCCCCTGAGCACTGGGATTATGGGCATGAGCCACCATGCCCAGTTTAAAATTCAGATCTTCACATTTATCTCACTCTGTTTAGGCTGTTATGACAGAATACATGAACTGGGTGGTATTTATTCTCACGGTTCTGGAGGCTGGGAAGCCCAAGGTCAAGGCTCTGCACATTTGGTATCTGGTGAAGGCTGTCTTCTGGGTTGCTGACTTCCCTGTGTCCACACATGGTGGAGGGAACAAGGAGTTCTCTCAGACGTCTTTCATAATGGTGCTTACACCACTCCTAAAAGCGCTTCTTTTATGACCTAATCAGCTCCCAAAGGCGCCACCTCAATACTATCAACACATGAATTTTGGGGAAACACAAACATTCAGACCCTAGCAATATCTGACTGTCAACTCTTAAAAAAATAAGAGATCATATATTTTTTTTGCTCCTTTTTCCCAGTCTCCTGGCTTAGAGAAGGCACTTCATATTTGTTTATTGGAAATCAAGCTTTTAGATATGGTAAGAACACCCAGGAAAAGATAATACATATTAGAGGATTGTGGTGTCAGGAGGTGATTTGTCATTGGAAGCAGAGGTCTCCAGATGTGAGTGGGAAACCCTCAGAGTAGAGAAGGGGGTTTGTCGGTGTGTTTAGTTTTTGTTTGACATTTGGATTTTCTTCTGGGTCTCTGAGAACTGTCAGTTTCATTATCTGTTCCTTCTCTGCATTATGGACTTTTCCTGGGCAGGAAGAATTTGGTGGGTAATATTTGTTGGATAAAAAAATGTCTTCTTTTTCTTTCTTTCTCTCTTTCCTTTCTTTCCCTTCTTCCCATTCACCCAAATCAAGGAGTTTCTACTTCTTATTCTCTAAATCATGCAATCTTCTCCTTCCTGTAGTTCAGTTTCCTCTTTGCCCTCTCCCCCCCTTCCTATGTTCCCTCTCCTCACTGTATTTTCTTTTCCCTCCCACCTCTTATTCTCCTTCTCAGACTCTTTAACTTGCTCTTGATCTGCCACAGGCCAGGTCTTCTGTTAGACATGAGTGCCAGACATCAGTGATGAGTAAAATATTGTCTAGCTCCCTTGCCTAGATAAGGTTCAGGTTCAGCTTCTCAGCAGCTGTTTGGGATTGTTTCACTGCTATTCCCTTCCTTTCTTGCAATGCCAGAAAATGTACTGGTCACCCCAAATTTGACCAGAAATATGCTCGTACTGCCACACACAGTCCATACCAGGCCACAGCTATGTCTGAATGGGAGATGTCTTGTGTAGTTGCTACAGACTCCACAAGTTTGGGGAACTCAGCATGTGTTTGGATTTCTTTGGAATCAGCATTGGGAACCTGACAATTTGTAAAAATCTCTCTCCCAAACTGAAAGTCTGAGGAAGGATTGAGAAGGGGGCCAGAGGCCTTTCACTTTAAGAGGAAAACTACCTGTTAGCAAGCCACTTCTTTTCTGCTGTGTGTATTGCAGGTAGAGCCAATGGAGAAGCACTTATTGTCACCAAATTAACTCTTTCCCTTGCATCCCAGCTCACCATTTTAGAGCAGTGAGATTTGTTTAAAGAGGTAATTTATGCTTTCAGTTATGGAGAATGAAGTGGGCAGGCTTATTGCTTCTCTTTGTCTTCCCAATCTTTCCAATCTCTGATTACAGTATAACCAAATAATAAATAAATGTGTGAGGCTCCAGTGTATGAGTTACCACCAGCAGAGTCCAAAGGTCAAAGTTGAAAGAGTGTTGAATTCTTCCTGATTCCTGGGACACTGCTTCTGTAGACACTATCACCAACAAAATCCATCCTGGAGGAATGACCCTTTAAGAAATAGGATGGAAGGTAAGGTGAGCTCACCCACTTTGGAAGGATGTAATCCTGGGGGAAGATCTGATTGCTACTAGGTTATTTAGGGGGAAAAAAGGAAGAAACAGTCCCCAGGTGGTGTTTAGCAGTGTATTTGTAATGTTTACCCCCTTCTGAGGATTCCTGAGACAGTTTTGCAAAGAAGGGCCTTAATTTCCAGGTCCCTCTTTCCTTTTCTGGAATAGCATTTGAGCAGCTTGCACATTCGATGAAGAATCAGCTGCGAAGTTTGTGGTTTCCTGTGGCACATTTCTAATAATATTTATACAGGCCATTATTTAATGAACCGTTTAAATATTTATCATACAGAGCTGTTTTTTGATCATAAATAGGGGCTCAAAGTCAGCACAGCCCCTGCTGGGTCCCCGGGAAGAGAGCCATGTCAGCTCTTTGGGACGTCTGGTAGACTGAGGAGTGAGGTATGTCTCAGGATTCATGTGCTGAACAGCTTGAGTTTCCCTTAGTATTTTACTTTCTCTTGGCTACCCACAGTCTGTGTCCTTGTTTCTCTCTGCCTGACCACCCTTACCTTATCCCTGACAGCTTTTTTCTTTTTTGTATTCATCCATACCTAAAAAGAAGAAAATAGAACCAAATTTCTGACTCTCCGCATTTATAAAGTGGCTTCGGAGTCACACCACCGTGGCCTGGAATCCTAGCCCGTGCCTCTGTGCTGTGTGACCTCAACTAGCTTCATCTCTGAGAACCTCAGTTCACTTAACTGGAAATAGGCTCCTCCTGGGAGCCCTAAAAGGGTAGCCAAGGAGTCAATCAAAATTGTAAAGTCGTGTGGGTGATTTATAGAGCAAAGTTCAATAAATACGAGTTCTTGCTATATTTGTTGTTGGTGTTGTTATTGAAGAAGTCACCAAAGGATTTGATTTTCAGTTTCAGCTTGGTGTTGCGGAAAGAGTCCCAGACTTACCCTCAGAAACTGGAGTTGAGATCCTGGTCTTGCCGTGTACTGTTTGTGTGACTTTGAACAAACTGCTCTCACTCCACTGGCATATAGAATGGTGATAGGTTTGCCCTCCTGATTGGGTTCCCTGCATGCGGTGAACACATGTGTGGAAATGTTTGACATAATGAGGATCCTAATCCTTTTCTCTTCAAAACAATCTAGAAAAGGCACATTCCTTTCTTTGGTTACTTTCTTTTGTGACTTAGAGGTACTAGTTGAATGGTTTGGAGTCCAGGACACAGCAGACAGTGTTTGTGACCCAGGGACAAAGGGCAGAGAAGGGGAGAACAAGGGATCTGCATTGCAAAAAATCCTCTGGCAGTGTTTTTGTAACTTATGGTGGGATTTCAGGGAAGCTGCCCAAGGGCTTGAACCTCCCTGTTTTCAGGTTCCAGGTGTAGAAACAATCAGAATGAGATTATTTAAAATTATAGTAGTGGGGAAAATGGTGAGCCTGAAAGATTTAATTAGGATCTTTTTTCTTAGAAAAACATGACCTGGGGGATTTGTGGGAACACTGCTAGGAGGGTCTGGTGCCCTTGTTTCTGTAAAGTTGAGTCTTTTCTTGGAGGAACTTTGATGGTGTATTATAGAAATAGAGGTATCCTGGGTTGTGAAGAGGTCAGACTTTCAAGATGGGCAGCGTGTCTCTGAGTTAGCCAGCCTCAGACACAGTATGCATGGGCCCCTACTGGAGATCCCTGGCTAAGAGTGCAGGAGTATCATAAGACAGTGGAACATACTGAGAAAGGCTGGGAGCTTGGGCATGAGAGCTCTTGGCATACTAGGATCAGTTCAGGAGCAACTCCCTGGGGACCTTTGCAATTCCAGTGGGAATCCAAGAGAGGGAATTCTGAGTAAAGTAAGATGTGTGTAGTTGGTAGAGGGAAGGTGGACAAGCTAGCTGGGTCAGTCTTCCTCCTGTTTGTAGATAAAGAAACTGAGGAAGCTCTGAGCCAAGACACCCTCCTTATTTTGTCAGTGACTGTATCCTTAGCAGGGTGCCCAGTGCCTGGTGCAACCAGCATTTCTTTGAGTCTCAGAAGTCACTGACTGCAAGATGCATTGTTTCATATACGACAGAGAAAGAAAAAAACTACCAATTGATTGTAAGATGCTGATAGTTACAGGATTCATTCTGATTTCATGGATGTTAAATGTGAAAAAAAAAATTAGTAGTTTTGGGTTGGGGTTGTGGCTCAGCGGTAGAGCAGTGTGAGGCCCTGGGTTCGATCCTCATCACCACATATAAATAAATAAAATAAATGTATTTTAAAAATTAGTAGTTTAGAATTAGTAAAATGTAGTTGTAAGCACTCAAGAAATATTGGCTAATTAGGTGAATAAGGCATAGAGAGATTCGAATAAGGAAAGCAGTAGTATATACATTCAGGTGCTGCAGAGCAGTGATTTGGTAAATGACAGGCTGCATGAAAGACAGTGGTATGCCACCCAGCCTGGGCATATGGCAGGCTATGTCATCTAAGTTTGATTAAGTACACTTTATGATGTATACACAACAATGAAATCACCCAACACATTTCTTAGACCTTGTCCGTATTGTTAAATGACAGATGACTGTATAAACACGAACTTAGGAATTCAAACTATTAAAACATGACCCTGCTCATCCTTGTTTTTCATTGATTCACTGATTCAGTTATTCAGTAAGTAATTATTGAAAACCAATTATATGCCAGACACTGAGCAAGGAGCGGAGGATGTAGAAATCAATAAGTTCATTTTTTGTGTGATTAAGTCAGAAGCAATCACTATTATATGAAGTTGGCTTTTTCCTTCCTTTCTTCCTTCCTTCCTTCCTTCCTTCCTTCCTTCCTTCCTTCCTTCCTTCCTTCCTTCCTTCCTTCCTTTCTTAATTGGGATAAATATCCAGGAAGCAGTAACTGAACATCTGCTGGCTGACTTTGTTTTAGAATCCCCACAAGTGTCTTGGCCAAGGAAATGTTATCTTTCTGAAGTTGAAGGGCACTGAATGGCTTCACAGGTTGAAATTGGACTCCAGTGCCGAGCTCACCTGGGGAGCTGTGGCATGTGCACTGGCCGGTCATCTTGGGAACTTGCTGCACTCTATGAAAGGCCAGTCTGGAAAATGAAAGGCCCTTGGAGATTTCTGTGTATCTCAGGCTAATCTGACCAAGGGGAATGAGAACAGCCACCAGGGCCAAGGAATTCCTGAGTGTTTTCTGGTCAGATTTCCTTGTAACTCATCAGGGGTCTGTAAGGAAAAGAGATTGTCTAACAAATTCCTAATCTTGTCTCCCCCGGGGCTGCTTCCCAATTCCTAGTCACTTCATGACACGACTGCAATATATTTGCCTCTTCTGCAAACCGATACTGCAAGCTTTTAAGAAAGAAAGGAAAGTGTCTGAAACTTGGGTTTGCACAGATGTGGGACTTTGGGTCCAGGCTGCCTCTGTGTGAGGCTGGGTAAATTCCTTCACTTCTCAGAGACCTATTTTCTTATCAATGTAGTGTTTTATGATTGAAATAATGTACATTTACTGTGTATGAGTGCATGGACCTAGCATGAAGCATAAAGTAACATTCCTCTTGGAGTCTCACCTTGATCACCTGTTCGCTAGAGATTTAAATACGCTTCCCTTCTAGAGTCATAGTGAGGCATAGAGGGAAGCACCTTTCACACTGCCTGGTGCATAATAGATGCTCAGTAGCTAATTTGTTGAGTGACTAGAGATTTGATAGGAATTTTTAGTACCACAGGAATTGTCCTGTTGATTCAGCTTCACTGAGAACAAGTTCTTCTCTATTGCGTCCAGATTCTAAGTTCTCCTACCACCCTCTCTTTGCTCTTATCACACTTGTCACAGGTTTGCTTAGTTAGGTAGCTAAGTGCTTCATGTGACCCCTTTCAAATAATCTAAATGCCATATCTGAGGCTGTGTCTGACTTGTTCACCAACTACTTAGCTTTGTGTGTCTAGAAACTTCTGTTGGACAAGTCCATAGTAAATGGCCGCTGCTTACATAGCCACAGAAGAATTTTGGTGGTGGTCTTTGTGGATTGGTCCTCATGTTGTGTTTGCATTTGCTCACCTCAGGTGGAGGGAACACAATGTCTGAAGAACAGGAGCCACGAAGCTACTACGTGGGCGTGGATGTTGGAACAGGCAGCGTCCGTGCTGCTCTCGTTGACCGGAGAGGGGTCCTTTTGGCCTTCGCAGACCAACCAATTAAGAGGTGGGAGCCTCAGTTCAACCACCATGAGCAATCCTCTGAAGACATCTGGGATGCGTGCTGTGTTGTCACAAAGGTATGGGTAGAGCTGTGGCGTCCTCTCCTAGCACCTGCTCCCACCCTGAGTGTCCACATGATGCCATGGACCCTGTTGGGGTACCTGGAGATGCAGAGCTGAGCCGCACATAGACCTTGCCTCCTGGAAGCTCACAGTGTAGTGGCAGAGACTGATAACACAGCTGAAATATGATGTGATAAGTGTCAGGAGCCAAGTAACAATGGTCGGAGCTAACCCGGAGTGGACTCTGGGAAGAGAGGAGAGGACGAGGAAGCTCAAGATGTGACCAGATGTGGAAGAAGCCACTGAGGATCGTAGCTGAGCTCTACTGTGTTTTTGGGTGTAAAATGTGTTAACATGTATTGTGAGGTGGAACCCGCAGGACTGAACTAGTTAGTATTTTGCTATCCCCGTTTGATTTTCAATCAAGAAGAAATGCAGGTGCAGAAAGTGAGGTAACTACCTAAGTTCATGTATTTGGTAAATAATAGAAACAAGTCAGGAACCTAAGCAGGCTGCACTGTAATGGATTCTCCTGCCTCCCAAATGAACGAGTGTGGGGAACTGCATTTGGTTCAGAGCATGTGAAGGGCATGGTGGCATGAAAACATGGTGTGTTCTGAGAGGGCAAGGAGATTGGGTCAAACCAGAGCAGCTCTAATATGTGTTAGATAGATGTTCATCTTGAGTGGTCTTGGATTGTATTGAGCATGCTGGCTTGGTGAAGGAATTGATGCTGGACAGCACTTGTTCACATTTAAAGTTTCACTTGTTGGTTTGACTTTATATCCTGGTAATCAGGAATATCAGACTTCCTTTTATCTTATCCCCCACCCCCCAGAGGGAAGAATAAAGTCCTGGATTCCTTCTTATCCCTGTTCCTAGTTAGCTTCCTTAAATATTCATGAGGTGCTTGGTAATTTGCAGATGGACCATTCACCATTCTGTCCATATCGATCAGTCTGTTTAAAGTTTCATGAGCTCTGGGCTGCTGTTAGTGCCCCTGGAGAAGAAGGCAGAGAGAGGAGTGGGAGGGCAGCACAAGAGCATTGTAAGGAATGGAAGAGGGGTATCTTATCTTCTGCTTGTTTAATTGTCCTCTCCTCCCTTCCTCCTCACCCCCGCCTTGGTGAGAGTCTTCTGCTTTTTGCCCTTGGGTCTCCTTTGTTCTTCTAACATATAGCTTTTCTTGCCATTAAGGAAATAGTCAAGAAGAAAATATAATCCCCTGATGAAAAGCTCCTTTACAAAAGGTCTACTCTAAGTACAGCTTGGTTTAATGGTAGATGGCGGCCAACTCATCATTGGCTAGAGCCTATCAGCCCCATAAGTGCTGGGGCATTTGTCCTTCGTGATGCATCTTGCAACGGCAACCTGAGTACAGCTCTTGGTTCTTGGCCATTTCCCTCACATAGGTTTGTGACCAGATGCCAGAAGCTGCAGGACAATCATGCCACATCTATGGGGACATCATGGCTGGTATGAAGTAGCATGCCACAGGACATACATTCTGAGCCAGACCACCCAGATTGACGTCCTCGTTCCAACAGTTGTGAGCCTGTGATCTTGGACAATTACTTCATGTTTCTTTGTGTGTTAGCTTACCTATGAAATGAGAGTGGTAATAGTAACCTCCATAGAGTTATTGTGAGGATTCAATGAATTAATGCATATAAAATGCCATAACGGTGTCTGGAAATGAGCAATCACTGTGTTTCCTATGGTGGTGAGTAGATTGTGGAGGAGAATGGAATAAAGTAACTCAGCCATCAACACCCCAGATCAATCCCCAGAACAAACAAACAAACAAAAGAATGAATTTCTAAGATAAAATCCTGAGTAGTCAGAAGTCCAAGAGGGAGACACTCTTGGGAATATTCACCTATTTCTCTCTGTTTGGGGCTCCTTCTGTATAAGATTTTGAGAAGAACTGTCTTAGGGCAAAGGGTGGCCTAGTACATCCTGATCTGTCTTCTCTTTCTCCAGCAAGTTGAGGGCAATTGTTTATTTCCGGTTCCCTAGGGAGGTGATTTTCTCCCTCAGTTAAGATAATGATGATGATGATGATGATGATGATGATGATAATGGTGATGTTGTTGATACTATGATGATGACAATAATGGCAGCTTATATTTGTTGCTCATTAATTATGTTCCAGATACTATGCTGGGTCCTTTATACTCATCACTTCATTTTATCTTTACAAGTATCTTTTGAAGTAGCTTTTATTCTTTGTCTTAAAGGTGAGAAATAAAAGGGCTTTGAAGAGGTTCAGTAGCCAGCAGAGTTCTTGTAAGGAGTAAGAGCCAGTGCTGGGTGCTGCTCTAGTCACCACTGCCCCTTGTCTCTCTCTCCAGCTGCATCCACTTGCATGATGCATGCCTGGGAATTGCATGGGACAACCTGAAACTTGCTGGACTTGCTGCAGGATGGGGCACTTGAGCTGAAGTGCAGCCATGCTAGACTATACTGCCTTGTCCTGGCTGTGTGCTCATGTATGAGACATGTGCCCCCAAAATGGGCAGGTCTTTATTGGGCCCATATCTAGCACACCTAAAAAGTTCTGTAGAAACATGCAAGTCCTGGAGAACATGCATTAGTCCTTGTTTTTAAAATATGCTTTTTGGAACCACAAATCTTAATCATTCAAACAAGGCAGGGAACATTGCAAAGTTAATGTATGATTAGGATTGAATTTTCTTTAGGAAGAAGGAAAAAATAAGCTGGAAGAATCATTTAACCATCAGACATTTGTTGAGTATCATTCTTTGATTTAATCTGCAAACATTTTTTTGAGCACCTACTATGCACTTAATTCTTCTTACGTTCTGGTACCTATATGGGAAAAGTATACAAGACATTTTCTGCTCCTACAGATTAAACAGCTTTTATTTGCATGAAAAACAAAAACAAAAATACATATGAAGCTAGTGAGGTACCATTTGTTCTGGGTTGGTACCTGCTACATGAGAAATGGTTGTGGGAAGAAGGAGGCAGAAGAGAGAGGAAACACATGGGGTTGAGCAATAACATTAACTTCGTACATTCATAGAATTAGTAAAGTTTACAGAGCATCTTCATATCCATTTGACCACATTTGACCATCTTTACAAGTTAAGTATTTATTGTTGTTTCCCTTTATAGGTGAAAAGAAAAACTGAGGGCCAGATGGTTAAGTGACTCTCCCAAGGTCACTCAGATAGTATTTGACAATCCTGGACCCAGACTGGTCAAATCTATGCATTTTCTTCACCTCCAGTGCCATAGACCTTTATCTTTTGCCTAGACTATTTTAAGGCAGCTGATGTCCTTGTATTTCTTTTCCCTTCTATGATCTTTTCTTGGCAACTGGAGTAACTCTTTTCCTTGAATGCTAAATTGATCATATTGCTTACAGTGCCTTGAGAGCATCACACTACTGTTGTATATATGGGACCTGTATATATGGGACCTGCCTTCAGGGTGCTTCCTGGTCTGTCCCTGACCTGTTGTCCTGCTCTTGTCCCGATGCTTCTCTGGGATCTCTGGGCTCTAGCCACCCCCTTCATCCTCAGACCTGCACACTGATCTGTTCCCCTGCCTGCATACTCACCCTGCCTTCCCCTAGCACACCTGGACTAGAGTACTGGCAAAGAGAGGCAGGGAGAGATGACCCTGAGAGGCTCTGGGAAGGAAGGTCTCCTGGGACTTGGTGACAGTGAAGAAGGGGATTGAGGCAATGTCAGAGTTTCAATTTTTGGAAGAGCATGGGGTTGCTGATATAAACGGAAGGCTTTGACCTTGGTTTCTTTGCCTTACCATCCAGGGACAACACCACACCTAAGCTCACATGCTGTGTAGGTATTAGCTTGGGACTGGATTTACTCGTTTCTCCAGTCACTAGAGTAGGTTTTGCACAGTTGATTGCCAGCATGACCTTCCCTGTAACAGGTACCCTGCATAAGCCCTTCCTTGCTTTTCCCACCTCTCTTTGGGACATGGATTGTGCATCTCAATTGCACAATTTTGGGCTTTGCAGTGGCTCTTCCCCTAGTGGGATCACTCCTCCACAGGTTTTCATAAGGCCTTCTCCTTGATCCTTCAAGGTCTTCCTCAAATCTCATCTTTTTAGGGACCACGCTCCCTTCTCTGGCACTCATGATCCCTCTGATCAACGCTTTCTGGTATATTACTTCTATACTACATAGTTTAGATGATTCATTGGCTATTGTTTAGCCTCACTAAAATGCAATATCCAAAAAACCAAGGATTTTTAAAAAAATGTTTTTCTCTCCATTATTTCCCAAATACCTAGAAGAGAGCATAGCTGGACCTTAGAAGGGGCTTCATTATATTTTCTGAGGACTGACTAAGTGAGGGTTGAAGTGTGTAGGCAACAAAGAAGGATGGAGCCGAGGGAATGGGGATTGCATAACTCCATGCCTGGCCCTGAAGCTGATAAAGCATTCAAATCCATATTTAAAGTAATACAGTACCAGCCATAGAGACATGTGTTGCAAGCTGGATTCTGTCTGAGAGGCGTAGGATTTGACCCTTGCTCTAAATAGAGCTAAAAATAAAACCAGGTATGCATGTGACCTTCTGGTTCTCAGTTTGGAAGGTTTCTAAGAGACACTACCTCCCCACCCAATATGGCAGAGCTTGCTGATTCAAAACACATGCAGGATTGAACCAGTTCCCACAGAAAGAACAAAGAGATGCACAATCCTTTCCCCAAATATTTGTTTGCTGCCCCAGAGCTACGAGTTGACAGTTTTTAGACATGGACCAGGTTACCAAATGAGTTTGCAGAAATCTCCTTCTCTGGAAATTCTTTAGAAGAGCAATGTGCTTTCTCTCTAGCCAGGGAAATTCTCTTGATGCCAAGTTGTTGGGGGTGAGTTTACTAAGCTGCTTTCTTTTCCCATTAATAAGAATATAAATAACAATCCTCAGGTCACCAGGTCAAGCTTCAGAGAACTTCTGGGTAGTGTGACCCTGACAGCCATCTTTCTGGGGTGGCTTAGATGGTTGAGGAA